GGGAAGGGCAATGAAAATGAAGGGGCGCCTGGAGCAGCTCCCCTGTGAGAAGTGGCTACAGCAACTGGGACTGTTTCTTTGAGCAAAAAAAGGCAAGGAAGGGGAAACAGGACAGATCGTGCAAGGTGTGGAGGAAGCAGAGGAGGAGGCATTTTTCTCCCTCCCCCATCACACTCGAACCTGGGGCCAACTCATGAAGGTGGGATGGTTTCGCGCAGATCAGAGGAAGTATTTCTTCACACAGCTCATAGCAGACTGTGGAATTCGCTGCCACAGGGGGTGGTGGGGGCTGCCCATCTGGATGCCTTTAAAAGGGGACTGGACAGATTTATGAGGAGGCCCTCTGTGGCTACCAGCCTTGCTGGCCACGGGCTCCCTCCTTCTCCAGAGGTGGCCTGGATGCACACCCCAGTTGCGGAGGCGCTGGGCAGGAGGAGGCCTTGCGCCCCTCCTACTCGGGGGAATCTAGTGAGCAGCTGGTCTGCCCCCGTGCGCACACAGGGTCAGACTAGTTCGGCCTTCGGTCTGATCCAGCGTGGCTTTGCTTTTGTTCTTAAATCCGCCGACGACCGTTGCACTAGCACCGGAGTAATGGGGAGGCGTCTTTACATGGCACTGAGAAAGAGGGACTGATGCTGAAGGACCCCTAACATATGCAGCCACCCTGCCACAGCCCGGGAAGGGAGGAAGTCTTCCAAAGGAAAACAGAGATTTCAGCCAATTTTCCAGAGATTCTTGGACTCTTTCCAGCTGCATGGAACATCTGACTTCATACACAAGGCAGTCTCGTGAGGGACCTGTTCCCTCTGGCCTGTTGCTGATGGCACCCAGGTGGTTCCAGAAAGAACATCCCAGAGAGAGACAAACGGGAAAAGAAAGCCTGAATTCATACATTCAACAGCAAACCCCTGGAAATGGAACTGTGCGGACATGTCATCTAGTGGGGCTCCGTCGGCAGGAATGGCCATTGTACACGATCTGGCCAATTTCAGCCACAACCTCACAGCTCCCAATTTCCAGGGTGGGCGATAGGGCTGAGGGGTGGGCTTGGTCTGACTATGGGAAGTTTCACAAAAGCCGCTTCCCATGAGCAACAGCACTGCTGTGGTTTCATTTTCCAACAAGCCACTTCACTGGTGCACGATTCCAGCCAAAAGGAAAAGGGCATGAGCTGGATTAATGGCTGCGGTAGTGAGCGTTCCTGAGGGCACTTTCGGCAATGAACCCAACCCCATGATATCCTGACAACTGGCTAATGAATAGACTTTCTCTCTCCCTCTTTCTTTCCTTCCTTCCTTCCTGTCCACCTGCCCTCCCTCCCTCTCAAGCATCTGTCTGTCATGCAGCTGTCAAGACTTCTGCCAGTAAAAGGCGAAGATCTAAGAGACGAGAGCAAAGTAGGGAAGAGGTTTGCTGAACAAGGGGAGTAAAAGGGGTGAGTGATAACTCTGGGGAATTGTTTTTAAAGCCACAATCCTAGGCAAGTTTAGATTTAAAAAAGCCTCTGCTGGCTGGAACATGCTGGGAGTTGTGGGTCGTTTTTCATTCTAACCTTGCTTAGAATTCTGCCTTAAGTCTGTTTAAAAAACGTATTTTCTGTAGTTAGAGATTTTGACATCAAACATTTTAAGCAGTTTTATAACCTGCTAAACTCCCACTCCACCTAATTTTTTGGCTGTTGCAGTGTAATCCACTCTAAATCTTCAGGACAGAATGAAATACTGTTCTGAACAGCAATACTATACACCCTCACTCAGCTATATTAGCATTAAATTAGCTTGTGGGCCTGCCAGTCGTTATGTAAAAACATCAGATGAGCCCCATTGGATCAGGCCAAGGCTCCATCCAGCCCAACATTCTGTTAACACAGCGGCCAGTGAGAAACCCACATGCAGGACATGAGGACAACAGAACCCTCCTGCCCATGCTCCCCGGCAACAGGTGTACATAGGCACACTACCTCTGTTACTGGAGGAAGTCCTACACATACTACTTCCAGCCATTGATTAACTTTATGTTGTGAGCCGCCCCGAGGCTTCGGCGAATGGGGCGGCATAGAAATGTTTTAATAAATAAATAAATAGACAGATAGATTGATTGATTGTCTTTTCTTCCATTAATTTGTCCAATCCTAACCCTTTTAAAGCCACCCAACTGGCAACTTCCTGGGAAACTGAATGTTGAAATTTAGCTCTGTGCTGAATGAAGACGTCCTTCCATTGAGCTGTCCTGCATCTCTCGTCAATTAGCTTCACGTGATGAAACTGTTAGGGTGCAGTATTATGAGAGCCTTCCTCCGTAAGTACCTTCTAGACGTGTTGACCTATAGCGGCCCTGTCATCCCAGCCAGCATCTGGACCAGGAGGCACCTCAGCATAGTCATATTTCAGTCTAAAACAAGACCAAGCAGTTCCAGTCCCCAGACCGGTGCGCCATGTCAGGCTCAATGCCACGTCCCACCAGGATGTGCTTGGCTCCCCCAACCAGGTTTGTGCAACTAGGATTCCTGTGAAGCTCCTTTGCTTCACAGTGGCAGAAGACTCGATTTCCATCTCGCCCGGCATTCTGTCATCCAGTGGCCAACCAGGTGGCCCACAGAATGCCACAGCTGGGACACAAGTTCAGCAGCGATCTCTCCCCAAGTCCCTCAGTGAGCCCCACGTACCCCTTTCTGTCTGTCTGCTTTGCTCTCAGCATGATGTGAGAGCCTGAAAAAGCAGTGGCTGGCCCCAAAATGAAAATGTCATGAAGGAGAAAAGAAGAGGGTGGTCCAGACGAGGCTTCTATCCTTCAATTGCCCTGCCTCAAAATGGGAAATGTATAGTGGATCCATACACAGCTGCTTTCCATGTATAACCTTTCCATGTTTTCACTCCGTTTTTTCCATCTTTTTTACTACTGAAGCCTGTTCAGGAGGAAAAGACAGGCTGGGAGCATCCATGCCTTTCACAGTGCCTGAAGCCTCCCATCTGGAAGTCTGCACAACACAAAACTCAGCCATGCATACACATCGCAGCAGAGGACAAGGGCTCGGGGTTGACTTGGGATGGGCTTGCCTGACATTTCTCTGAATCACCCCATGCAGCGGGTTTGTGTCGCCCTCTATGGGCCAAGATACTCAAGGGACGTTCATGCTAAAGAGTTCTTCCACACCTTCCTGGACATGTACTATGACAGGTTCGCGCACCAGGGTAAGTCAGAAAGGAAGTGTAGAAAGTGGGGGAACACTGTCTCCCCCGCTTTGTTCCAGGGGCAAGCACTGGCCCACGGGGCTTTGTCTCCTTCCCCATAGCAGCCTGTCACTGCATGCCGGTGCGCCTTCCGTGTATCGCTCCACCAAGCCCTGAGTGGGGCTTGACGGGGCAGCATGCAGAGGCAAGGAGCCTGAGGCCAGCGCCTTTCAAGTGCCCGGCTGTCATGGCCCTGGCCTGGAGCTATCTGGCAAGAGTGGCTAAGATCTTGCCGATCGTGACAAGTGGCCAACTCGTCGTAGGGTTTGCCTCCTGCGCGTTGTGATGTGGGGCATGCTGGGAAGTGTAGGACTTCTGTCCAGAAATGCATACAATTGTGCCCTCAGCCAGCCTTTTGCATCCCCTCCGACCAGCCCCTGATGAAGTGCTCTGGAAAACAGCAAATGGGAGTTATAACAACAAAGAACGTTGCGCCACCTTAAAATAGGTTTTCGTGGACTGTATGGCACATTGTTCTCTGCATGCAGCAGCATCCTCTGTTGCTGGATCTAGTACCAGCAGGCCACATCCTCTTACATAAAACCAGGGCATGAAGACATTCGCTGTCAGTTTCCCTGTCACAATAGTGGTATTTAGTGATCTCTGACATGACGGTTCGACATGGGCATTATACCTAATAACCATTCGCAGAAATGTAGATTCAGATTTGGAAGGTATCTTGGAAATCGCCTACTCTGATCCCTCCTCACATACAGGATCTACAATCCAGGAAGCAGCTTCATCAATCTCTCCCGACTTGGAGGCGTCCAAACACGCTGGGCTGCAAATCCCAATGGCCGCGCAGGCTGTGAATTATGGAAGTCACAATCTAAGATGTTTGGAAGGCTCCAGCTGGGGAAGGCCAAACTTCAGCATCCTTGATGGTGTTTAGGGCTTCAATGCCCCTAGAGAAGAAGAGCTTGTCACCTCAAGTCTTCAGTTTGTTTCACGGTTGGACCACCCTCTCCACGGACAGATGTCACCTCCTCCATGGATGCTTCACGTCCTCTTTTAAAGTTCCTAATCACCACCTCCTGGGAGAGCATATTCCACCTTCCTTGGGTAAGGAAAGAATTCCTCTTCATCTTCCATGCCTCTCCTGCCCTTGTTTTTCACTGGGTGACTTTCAGTTGAAGCCTGATGAGAGGAGCACAAAATGCCACCTGTGTTCGCTTTTGCCACATCACGCACAATTGGATCCACCTCCGTTGTCTTTTTCCTTCTTGACAGAGCTGTGTGGACCAGCCACTGATATCTGCGCGCGTGTTTAGCTGCTATGTGCTGGCCGTGTTTTTCTTCGTTTTATTGATCAAGGCCGTTTCTGGGCAGCCCCGTTCGCAAAAAGCCTCGGGGCGGGATTTCCAGCGCCCCGTCTGCATGCTCACAGCGGCCCTGCGAGGTGGGCCGCGCTGGGCTGAGAGCCTGAGCAGCCGCGCCCGGTCGCCGCCGACGCCGCCTCCAAGGCGCGGCGCGCCCGCCCAGCCTCCCTCCCTCCCGCGGCCCGGCGGACGCGGACACCGGCGGCGGCGGCGGCGGCGGCGCCTAGCAACGGGGGC